CAAAATGAAAGATCAATGTATTGCAAAGTATGTGTGATAAAACCAATACAATATAAATGTACAGTTTCATTGCACAAAAATATCAGAAAAACCATTCTGCAACCCTTTTGTTTTAATATAACATTTTAACACAAGTAAGGCAAATTCACATATACATACAGAATATTAAATGAGTGTAGGTTTAATACTCAATTTATTGAACAGGTTCAATAAAGTTATATAATGCGAGCATCTTGTGATCATAAAATTCTTTTATTCAACAATTTCTATAAATCTAGTATTGAATCTACAAGTATATAATATTCTATTTATCACATATTTAAAATAAGAACGGTTCACTGTTAAAGAGTCAATTTTTGTAGTGACGCGTCTATACATTAAACTACATTTGATTTGAATTTGTGACTTGAGCGATATTGATGTTTTAATTTGTTTCTATTGTTCTTTGTTTTTCTTTTAACTATTGTATCATTTATTTGGTTATACTGTACAGTATTTTTGAACGTGTCAATGTGCATGAAAAAAGTGCTTAAGAAGTTTGGTATATAATAATAATAAAAGTGTAACACTAATATCAGTGCGTTGTTAACGCTATGTTTACATATAACTCAAATGACGCCACGTATAAGTATTATTACACTAGTGTCATATCGGTTTAATTAAATTCCTGCGCCGCGGTTTATGTGATAAAAATTATGTACTGCTGTAAACTGCTGTAAAGTGTAGAGCTAAGGCAACCTGCATACCCGCGTTGTCCGACCATGTTCTATACTGCTGTAAGTTCTGTATTAAAGTCCTTTTACTTGGATGGACAGTTTAAAATTCAAAACTGGATGAATCCATTTTTAAAAATTCAGCAGCTGGTTAACTACTTTTATTACATCTTAATACAAATGTGCTTAATTTTTGAAATGCCTATCCCGAGCGTATGCTCAAGAGAGTGAACATAAAAAATGATTGCTGTTTTCCCAGATTCTATTTATCTGGTGATAAATTACACATTCTCATTGTATTAATTCTTCAATACGAAATAAAAAACCGCAATTTAAGACCTAAAGGTACATTATGCTCAAAATTTTATTGTCGAGTTGAGCTGAATTGATTTTATATTTCAAAAGATTGTTTGTTAAAATGATGTTTTACCAACAGATTATATTGGAAAATGCTTAGGATAAAATTTTTAATCTGCCTAATATATAAAAAGACTGCCCACTCCTTTTAAACAAGAGGGCCATGATGGCCCTGAGGTCGCTCACCTGTTTAAGCCCCCCCCCCCACACACACCCATAAGAAGATGTTTCATGCTAAACATCTAAGCTCTAGCTCAATAGGCTTTTTAAAAGAAGATTTTTTTAAGATTTTACTATACACATATAGTTAAAAACAATGACACCCCTGGGGCGGGGCCAGTTTTGACCCCAGGGCTTTTATTTGAACAAACTTTGTAGACACTTACTAGAAAATGTTTCATGCTTAATATCTAAACTCTAGCTATTTGGGTTTTTCAAAGAAGATTTTAAGTTTTTGCTATACACATATAAGGAAAATCAATGACCCCCGGGGCAGGGCCAATTTTGACCCCAGAGCTTTTATTTGAACAAACTTTGTAGACACTCACTAGAAGATGTTTCATGCTTAATATCTAAACTCTAGCTATTTGGGTTTTTTCAAAGAAGACTTTTTAAGTTTATGCTATACACATATAAGGAAAATCAATGACCCCCGGAGCGGGGCCAATTTTGACCCCAGGGCTTTTATTTGAACAAACTTGGTAGAAACCTATTAGAACATGTTTGACGCTAAATATCTTAGCTCTAGCTCTTTGAGTTCTTTAAAAGAAGATTTTTTTAAAGTTTTTACTATATGCATATAGGGAAAATCAATGACCCCCTAGGGCGGGACCAATTTTGACCCCAGGGCTTTTATTTGAACAAACTTGGTAGACACCTATAAGAAGATGTTTCATGCTAAACATCTAAGCTCTAGCTCATTGGGCTTTTTAAAAGAAGATTTTTTTAAGTTTTTACTATACACATATAGTTAAAAACAATGACACCCCTGGGGCGGGGCCAGTTTTGACCCCAGGACTTTTATTTGAACAAACTTTGTAGACACTTACTAGAAGATGTTTCATGCTTAATATCTAAACTCTAGCTATTTGGGTTTTTTCAAAGAAGATTTTAAGTTTTTGCTTTACACATATAAGGAAAATCAATGACCCCGGGGCGGGGCCAATTTTGACCCTAGGTCTTTTATTTGAACAAACTTTGTAGACACTCACTAGAAGATGTTTTATGCTTAATATCTAAACTCTAGCTATTTGGGTTTTTTCAAAAAAGAATTTTTAAGTTTTTGCTATACACATATGAGGAAAATCAATGACCCCCGGGGCGGGCCAATTTTGACCCCAGGGCTTTTATTTGAACAAACTTGGTAGACACATATTAGAACATGTTTGATGCTAAATATCTTAGCTCTAGCTTTTTGAGTTCTTTAAAAGAAGATTTTTAAGTTTTTACTATATGCATATAGGGAAAATCAATCACTCCCTGGGGCGGGGCCAATTTTGACCCCAGGGCTTTTATTTGAACAAACTTAGTAGACACTCACTAGAAGATGTTTCATGCCAAATATCTAAGCTCTACCTCTTATGGTTTTTTAAAAGAAGATATTTAAAGTTTTTTCTTTCGGTTGCCATGGCAACCAGAGTTCTGCATGGAATTAAATTCTTTGAACAATTTTTAAAGGTGACCACCAAAGGAACATTCCTGTGAAGTTTGGATGAAATTGGCCTAGTGGTTTATGAGCAGATGTCATTTAAAGTAAAAGTTTACGGACGACGGACGGACGACGGACGACGGACGGACGACGGACGACGGACGGACGCCGGACGAAAAGCGATCACAAAAGCTCACCCTGTCACTTTGTGACAGGTGAGCTAAAAATGAACGTTACAAGTAAATTCTAAATGATATTTACTGAAATTTGGATCCGATGGTGTTGTGTTGATTAAGCTAAGTAAATCATTAAAGCAAAAGGAATTATGGCAAATGAAAATTTATTTTGACTCTCACCTGTTCACTCACTATATACCTTTAGATGGGCATAATGTCACCAATGCTTTTTCTTGTTGGGTGGTTCCAGTATTCCTCACTTGAATACCGTTGAATCACCCTAAGGATATGTGACCTGCTTTTTAAATTTGTCTGTTGACGTTTTATCTGTGATATGCAGGCTTCATAACATCTGATCCCCTTTCGAAATTCAATTTTATTTAGTTCCGCCCATTGTTTTCTCGTTTAGGGCACACGCATTTTATTTAGTTTGCACTTGACAGTACCGTCCATGAACAGGCTCAATCAAACCGAGCCTGCAACATTTTCAATTTTGCCGTGCTGGGCTTTCTTTACGGATTCTTATTTTCTCTATTAAATAGATTACACATACCACAAATGCCCCTTAAGATTTATGTAAATAAATACGCCAAATACATTTATTACTGACATAAGGATATTGTCGCGCTTAAAAATGTAGGCTATTTTAAAGACCTGTTAACAATATGAGGCGAAGCATTACGAGAAACAACGAAGTCAAAATGGCACAACGATAAGATTATTATGTTATTGCGCAATTTAAAAACCTTCTGCGTTGATACGCTACCAGCGAAATAAAAGCCCACATCAATTATAATGTATCTGATTTTCATGCAGTATCGATTTCAGCAGTTTATATTCCTCCGCATGCCCCTAACAACAAATTAATAACATAAAATTCTATTCATTGACTTATTGACAACAATTATCTAGGTAATAAAAGGTGTGGAAATCTCAACATTTACCAGTGGATGTTTTACAACACGTTATTTATAAGTGTACAATATTTAAACAAACTTAATGAGCTTATTTATATTGCAGAGACCTTTTTTGAAAAGAATGAGAGTTTTTTTGTTTACATCCTTCTAACATACATGTATAAATATTTTCAAAATTGGTATAGCTGATTCATTAAAGTTTACAGTTTAAACCGTTCCTTATATATACACACATCAAAATCAATCACTGGTTCACTAATGATTTAATTGGTCATATTAATTCAGACCAATATCTCGTATGCAAAAACTTCCGATTATTTGTTCAATATCCATTTTTCGAGATAATCGGTTTTAAATCTTTATTCTTGTTTTTTATTGCGCATCTTTTCACTCAATCGGGCAAAAAAACACGATTTATCAATTAAGTACCGACAATTCTGTATGTACATATTATGTAGTGCATACTTTTTAAATTTAATGATTTTAGGCTATAAGACCTCAGTGGAGTTCCTTAAACACCCTCGTAATTAAAATTCTATATTAGCTGTATTTCATTTTTGTATTTCAATGTATGAAGTGATAAAGTCATGTGATAAAACATAGATTTGACAAAATAAAAGAAATTGTTTACGACAAACAGGAACACATATTTTCTTGCATGAACTATTGGCTCCATGTGTTATAATTTTAGTTAATCAACTGAACCTCAAGTCAGCTTCAGTAAATATTGTCGAAATTAACATAAATTCGCTCACGCCCACTTCTTTAAACAGTTTTTGCTGTATCTAATTTAGTACATCTTTTTATCACTGTGATGTCGTTACCAATGTTACGAAACAACGACGAAAGCTTACGCGAATATATTTGATTAATAAATAGCAGCGAGTCCACATGTTTTCTTTGGGCTTTTAATCTGCTGCAATTTTTATTGTACTATATTAACACAAAAAGGTTCAGTCCAAACGATCCTGCAATAGTTTTAATTGTGTCGTGTTGGGCTATCAATATTAAATATTTGTCCGTACAAAAAATAAACATCCTGAGGCAACCATAAATAAATTTAACTATCAGGTATTTGTTAATTTTCTTCGAAGAAATCACAAGCTGTAGTTGTCACAATAATATAACGCTTGAATCATTCTGTGATTACTTTCCTTTCAGCTCTGTTGACCTACCTGACCTAATCCTGTTATCCCCTAGTGGGGCAAAGGGCATCCACAACAGCTCTCCATCTGGGTCGGTTCATTGCTGCTCTTTTTGCTTCTGCCCAGGTGATATTGCAGCTTTTCAACTCAGCTTCTATTGTTCGTCTCCAGGTGGTTGTTGGTCTGCCTCTTCTTCTTTTACCTTGAGGATTCCAATCCAATGCTTGCCTTGTGATGTTGTGTTGGGGTCGCCTCAGAATGTGTCCTATCCAATGCCATTTACGTTTCTTGATGGTGCTTGAAATAGATGACTGGCCTGTTCTATTCCACAGATCTGAATTACTGATCTTGTTTGGCCATCTGATTTGTAGAATCTGTCGGAGGCATTTGTTGATGAATACCTGCAAGTCGTGTTCGTTTTTCTTGCAGATCTTGAACAGATCATTAAATTCATTTACATAACCTCTCGCGAGACGATAATCTTTACGCAATGTGTCTACTGGAACATTTCTAATTGAAGACATTAAGAAAAAGCATGGCGAAAAAAGTCTTAAAAAATGTTTTCTATTAAGTAAATTAAACGACTTTTGAACGAAGTATCACGTATGTACCCTGAGAAATAAGTAAATTTTTTTCCAACAATTTTATTTTAGATATGAAAGAAAGTATGTAGTATGTAGAAAGATATATTGCGTCATAGTTAATTTGTTTGTCAGAAGACAATAATAGGGTATGTAAGTCTCGTCATGTGACTTGCGAGATTTCACGATATTTTGCACTTCCGGGTACAAACAAATATCAACAACATTGCTTATCTATATTGGGTAATACTTGTATGCCGGTAAGAAAGTAAAACTTACATGGAAAAGCAAATGATATGTGGAAATTGGCAGAGTTTTTTGTTTTGTAACGAAATGCAAATGGTCTCATCTTGTGAACAAGTATCAATGAAAGACAACTTCGTATGATCTTCAGGTGGGTGTGTCATTTCAAATTCAGTTTATCCCAATAAATGTTGTAATATTTTCATTTCCATGTAAATCTAATAAAGTTGTTTTTTTGATACAACATCATTCGCATCTGACACCAGACTGGTGGATTTGATTTTATCAATTTTCTATAGCGCTACCTGATTATCTCTCAGAAGTATATAATGTTTTTAGAAATTTCGGACAGCGCATATTTCGGATAAACGTTTCAATATGATTATCAGTGTGTTTTAGTTGAATATATTTTCTTCCAACTGAAAATATTATTTATTTATAATTATTATCTTTATAAAGCACAAACAGTCAAGCTGTATATAACCAATTTAAATTGTCATAAAATTCAATGAAATATTTTGCTCCTGTAGATATTTAGACTGAGGAAAGTGGTGAGATGAAAGACGTCAACTGGTATCCGATGTAAATACACATGCATGTTCTGCTGTAAAATCGTTTTGGTAAGAAATATATACTTAAAGCTACTTAAACTACATTAATGAAAAATAAATATTATTGTATAACATATAATGTTCTCGTTTTTGTAAATAATTACAGTGTAGCTAAATAAACAAACAGTATGGCATATGTAGTTAATTCATGTTAAATACTGTTTAAAGTATTTTTCTCAAGTAAGTGGGTCATATTTTTTAGTTAAATCATGTTCAGTAAATGGTTAAAAGAACTTAGTCACTATCACATTTTTTAAAGATCAGTTGTCAAAGCGCAAATCTACAAAAACTAGGACACCAAGAAGTGTTTCTTCCTTTTCAAGTATAGGTTAGTGTTTAATAATATGTATTAACAAAAATAATTGGTCAAGCCTGCCGCAGGCAGGCGACCAATTATTTTTGTTAATGCATATTATTAAACATTAACCTATTTAATGATCAACATTATTTTTTCAACCAAAAACAAGGCATTTCACTAAGTCACCGATAGCTCCGCCCTTTCGCTCAAAAGATGTCTACACCTTGTCAAGTTTCTAACATATAACATTTAGAGAAGCTAATAAATGGCCCTATCAACAAATAATCAGGCACATTTTTTTACTGAAATGTCACAGAATTTATACCTTTATCTACAGTAAAGCCATCATATCTAGAAAAAAAACAGCGAGGAAAATGATGCAATTAGGTAAAAACAATGGAGTTAATGAAACGTGTACATCCTTTATAAATAAATGGAAAATGTGAGAAAATACATTAGATTAATAATTTATACAAATTTGTTATTAGCTTTAAGTTATTCACTAACATTTAAAATCCCTATTGATTTGCTCATTTGAAAAACAGTTTTTTTCTGTGTGTCAATCTAGGTTTACAGGTGGAGGGGGTCCATTTTCAATGAGTTTTCCAGCCAAAAAATGTAATCATTGTATTCTTAATATCAAGGATTTTTAATGCAGTTCATTCCTATCAACTGAAAGAAAATTATGTTTTGGTTACTTTTTCTAAATAAAAAAGAAGTTTAAAACAGTCAGCAAATTATAACAGACATTTTTCTTAGAGTTAAAAGCATATAAAAAGTTACTATGTAATCATTTGTCTCTGCATGCCCCACACATATTATCTATGTAATAAATTAATTTATTGTATCGTCACATTTAGAAACACCTAACCTCGCTTAATTGTTTTTTACGTTGGCATTGTTTTGCTAACCTTTATAGTTTACAATTCAGAGTGCAAATCACACCTTTAACTCCTCCCCAATATAATGCATTATTGAAATTTGTTAGACTGGTTAGACGACAGATTAAGTGAATTTTATTTAGTTAGTACACATTAACCAAAGTTAGACTAAGCAGAAATTTGAAAAATACTACAATGTGATTGGACAAAAAATAACGTTGATCATTAACATTATTTTCTATTCATGACAATATGAAAATGATTGAAATTTATAGCTGACCAATTATTATTGCTTTCAACTCATGATAAATTTTCTTTATATACAGGTATGTGATTTCATGGTTGGATCTTGAGTACTTGTCATGGCTCTTGATTTATTTTGGAGTGTTCACCATCAGATTAGAAATCAAATAGTGATACCACCAGGCATAGTTGAAAGGAAATGTCCATACACAGTCTTGGAGTACATAGTGGTAGAGACATGGCAGTCTATTACAGATTTTGACTGAATTAAGGCTTCTTAAAGCTCCATGTCTTGTGTAAACTGTCTGACTGAATGTTTGTATTCTAATAAAAACTAAGGTTGAAGACACTTCAAAGATATATGTTAGTGTAAAAATGTTAAACAAAATATCTGTCTATGTAAGAAATAAATTACCTGTCTTTGTAAGAAATAAATAACCTTTCATTTGTAACTTTGTATTAACTTAATTATTCAAAGATAATTTGCTGCCCAAAACAGAAAATGGCTGCCCAAAACAGTTTCAACCAGGCATCATGTAGTTTCAAAACAGTTAAGATAAATTTGTTATAAATAGACTTGTAAAGTAACAGGAATGGTAAAAAGATTAATGTTCAGCATTAAAATGTTTCTATCTTGATTGAGTTTCATTTCATATTATCACCATGATCACTGCAATTGTAAAAGTAATGTAATCTTTAACCATTATTTAAATATCATAAAAATCATATCAAAGAAAAACTTGTTTCTGAGGCAAGATTTGTAAAATTTCTTCCAGTTATAGCCTTTCACTGCTCTTAGAAAAGCCATGATTTGCATTGTACATGGCAGGTAATAATACCAGAGTAAACAATATTAATGCAATCCATCTGTGTTGAGTATTCTGTAGCAAAACACTAGCTTGCTAGCCCTTGTAAGCCCAAGTCTCTCTCTTAATTGGAGAAGACTTGCAATTCTGCATTCCTTGAAGATTTTAGTATCAGAGGGGTAGTTATTACATACCATATAATTCTTTGGGTTTCAAATTACCTGTTTTATAATGTATTGAACCTGTTGACATTTGACCAAAAGTGAATTATCTATACAATACATGCAAAACTTAGGGTTTGCACTTGATACAAAACATTTACATCACTTATACATTAATATACCCATTGGAACTGTTTCAAAATTGTCAATGTTTCAAAAAAAACCAAAAAAAAAAACCACCACACAAGGCTTTTAACTTCTGTCCATGTACATATGTGCAAATGTAGTCATTGAAGAGCTGTCAAGAACTTTTCATCAATATTATTTAGATAGTGTCTGTTTCGATTTCAGGACAGACAAAATTCAAATGACATGCATAGTATTTAATATTATCAATGCTTGCATATTCAAGCAATCTAGCCATTGTTGTTAGAGAATTAAAGTACACAGTGACACTTATTTTGCAGATGAACTTTTATGATTAAGCACTGCTATAAATATATGCCAAATAGTAGAAACAAAAAACAGTTCATAAGTTTAATAAACTTTTATTTTTACACAATTTATAGTGCACTGCTTAGCATATATATCACACTGATTTCCAGTGGAAGAAAAACTTCAGGAAAGCACTTGGAATTATTATTAGTTATTTGGACAATGTAACTTTACACTGTGAATGTCTACTGATACAAGAATAAGAATATTTCCTTTTACAAATGTAAAGACTTTGAAAATTAACATGAACAAATTATCATAGAGTAATAAATCATATTCTAATTGAAAAATGTTCAGCTTGATATCAAAGCTTTGAATGCAAATTGTGAGCTTATCAATGATTACCTCACAATATTAGTAGTAGATGATATATAATATTTTTGCTAATCTTTACTTCATAGTCATTTAATGTCCATAATGTCATATGACTATACTGTGATTCCATGAAAAACCTTATCTCTGGTGTGTTATCAGCTTTGGTATATATAGAGTATCTAGTAATAATACTTAAAACTGCAATGAAATGTGGATATTTTACTCTGTTTCTATCATTGTGACATTAACATGTTAACAAGATCATAGTGTCAAACACCATAAAATCATACTCTTTATACATTAATATTTTTGTGCTGGATGTCATTGATCTTCTTCAGGAAAGTACATTTGACTATTCTCAGTGGCTTATATTAACTAATATTTCACTGTAACTTTGTGTTCTCTGATATCATTCTCAAATTATGGAACTGGAAGATGGTAGTTGCAATAAAGGTCTTCATGGACAAATCCTCCTTCATCTTTTCCCTTTTTATCTGCAGAATGAAAAATCAATAAATATGTTGTTACAAGTGTAAGACACTAGAAATGATATTTACATTACATTTAATAAACTGGTCATGATTGACAGATTGAAGTAAATAAACATTAAAGACAAACAACAACACATAATATATAACAGTAAAAATATTGATCTTCTTGAATGTGAAACATGACTATTTTTAATGTTTTATTTACTTATCAATTATCATGCAGTGAAATCCAAAAGTTATTAATATATTTTGATAATTGTTTATCTTTCCGATCTCAACTAAAAATTAATCAATTATTTTACATGTATTTACCTTTGATGTATAGATATTTCAGGATCATAGGCAGTGCAAACAGTTGATTAATGGTCCATATTGAACAACTGTATATTCTATACTTGTCATATACCTCCTTGTCTATACATCTGAAATGGTTTAATCAAATATTATATTTTTTAATTCAAGCATAATTTGATAGGTACCATATTAACATGTATATATAATTGAAAAAGGAACAAGAATAAAATGGAATGGAAAAAATATCCGAATAACTGTGCAATGTCCGAATTTTGTATAACTTTAATATACACTAGAATTAAAGTGTTTCTCCATTGTTTATTTCAATAAGTTAAATTGGTTTGAATTAATTTCTAACATCAGTAGTTTTAAAACAATACTAAAAGCTAAACAACTAGAATTCACTACCTTAACAAAACATCCGAAACAATTGTCACTATCCGAAAATAAACTAGTTTTATTAAACTCTATAAATCCCTCGTTTTTCCGTCAGATAATTGACCTACCTGCATTTTTTGACCCGTGCTATCCATTCCTTCAAATCTGAAGAGGACCGAAACAAATTTAACTTCTATATCCCTCGAGTTCTTCGGGTTACCTATATGCGTAACGGTAAATAGGTCTGCCGATGTACCCGGAAGTGGTAAATCGAAAGTGAAAGTAAACGAGACTTACGGGCCCTATTCATCCGAACATTAGTACGTATGGTAAAATATATAACTTAAAATCTTGTCTAGCGAAAACCAAACCTCATTTTTGTTTAAGGTTCTCCCTCTATTTGTAAAGATTTTTGCAAACAAAGTTCACATGTACTCGGTGTTTTAACAGTCAAAAATTGAGAAGTTTGGTAAGAGTTCTGAAATTTAGAAAGATCGAGATATCTGTTTCTATAATAAAAGAGACACTTTTTTTCTATAGAAAAGCTCAACGTCAATGTTTCGTGGCTGCTTTTATTTACAAAAATGCATCATATGATAATTAGAATGTATTACTCAGAACAACAGAATCAACATTTTTAAGTTAGATTTAGTTTAATATTTCAATGGCCGATTTCGAATGATACTTAGACAGTTGAAGCTGGAGGTTTTGATATAGCTACACATGTGTAAATTGTCTTAACAAGGAAACATTAGGATGATTTCCTGTAAATGTTACTAATTTTGTTTGACGATGCATGTGAACCGGCACTGCGAAAAATATACTGATATACGGGAATATACGGTCCCGTATTTTTGACATATACGGGCGTGTACGGGATGTATTCGTCGAATATACGGACCAAGTATACGAGTCCGTATAGGGAACACCGGGTATACGGGAAGTCCGTATTTGCCCCATATACATGTACGTATATTTGTTCGTACTTTTGGAGTATACGGAGAATAAAATCCCGTATACGGACTATATTAAGGTTGTTATCCCTAGTATACTATAAATATACCAAGGATATACGGGACCGTATTTTCTACATATACAGAGGATATACGGACTCGTATTTTCTACGTATACAGAGGATATACGGAACCGTATATTCTACATATACAGAGGATATACGGACTCGTATTTTCCACATATACAGATGATATACGGAATCGTATTTTCTACATATACAGAAAATATACGGAATCGTATTTTCTACATATACAGGGGATATACGGAATCGTATTTTCAATATATACAGGGGGTATACGGAATTACATTTTTTAGTTGTCCACAGGGAATACAGAACTGTATTTTCTTGATAAAAGAAGATACAGATAATATCAAAAGCATGCATTTACATATAAGTGACACGTATACATGACCGAAATGCAGACTTGTACAATAGAACATGTTTTATTACACATTTTGAATGGGAACTGTAAAGTAATATACTTAAGAACTTTATCTTCACAATTGGAGTATTTCAAATAATAAAGTAAAAACCAAATCGAGTCACTTTTAAATATTTATTATTTCATAAACATATATTCAATATGTATACATATATTAAACAAAATAAACATGTCTTCGCTACAACAGTCATTTATTGTTGCAAGCCTTATTCCAGAGGGACAAATTAATGTAGCGTTGCAACGGAACGGCGATATACCGGTATGATGCGATACAGAGTCATGAACTACGTATCACAGTGGAGAAAATCCGCACTGCGATATTTTCTTTAGAGATCGAGTTATACATGTACATGTTTCGATATTTTCAAGCCGTAACCTTTATGAATTGCATGTTGTTTAAATCTAGAACAAACTATACCAACTTGAAGTTCGATTCTATTTATCTTAACAATGATTTTTATGAGCCACTTGTAATACACCCATAAAATATTTTGAAGATATTCATATCATTTGTTCGTGTTAACATTCACATATTATTTTAGGAAAATGAGTCCATAGCACAAATTGATTATTACAGAAAGTTTAAATAATAGTAATTAAAACTAAAAATCCGTATTCACAGAAATTCGTCATTCAAACACAGTTCTTAAAAGCACTTAAATATATCAATCATCTATAGGAATGTTACGTAGACCAGTGTGACGGTGTCTATTTCGTGACGTAGGAAATGTTATCTCCAGATATTACAATCTTCTTCGGCATGTGTGTATCTGAAAAAGAGAGTTTAAAATCCTGTTTAAATAGTGTCATGAAATAGTTATCACAACTTTCAAAAAGACTATACACAAGCATTTTTTAAGCGTATACATTTATACATTTTTTTCTAACGCAAATTTCAAAATTATTTTATATTATTAGGATAAAGATGTCATTTATAAGCAACCATTTACACAGGATTTAAATGAAATGATTAATCTATGACGGATGATAAGTTATATGTTTTTGTTATAAAACCTTTACGAATATATTTATTTCACACCTGTAATATAAATGATAATGGTATCTTTGTTCTATGTAAAGAGTGTTTTATTGATTAAAAATATATCAATACAAAATAACATTGTATTGGGAAAAAGTGCAGACATAATCTTTTTGATCGTTTTACGATGTAAATTAGCATCGTTAGTAGGAGTCAATTCGTGTGAAAAAAGGCTTAAAAAGAACAGATATTTTTACTCAGATGTAGATCCGTGTTTGCACAATGATATCCAGTTAACTAAAAGGCGGAATACCCAGCTGTACTTCTCATTTATATTAAAACGTTAATCTTAACAAATTTGCATTATTATTTGTTTCAATTTCAATTGTTTCAAAAACTATCTCAGCAACGAATGAATACCTTCAATATACAATAGTGTAGATTAATTTTTTTTATTATTAAGACTGTTTAACTAGGTAAGTTGACAATAGAATCTCTTACAGTTTGTCATCTCTAAAAATAAAGTGATAATTCTCACGAAATATAAATCAAAATATCCTCCCTTGGCTATAGCATTAATCTGATAGTATGAAATCAAATTCAGATAATAAAATATACGTATCATATGTGACAATTGCATAAAATAACATAGGAAATATTTTAGTTAATACATACGAATGCGACTATTACGTGCGCACGTGAAACATTTACGTATCAACGCAATATGTTTCACGTGCGCACAAGTACTGTGCGTTTAGTATGATAATTAAGTGACGAGGTGGTCAAGTCCCCTATCCAGGTGTAAAACAGCTATCATATTGTGTTTGTTATCTTCAAACAGGCTAGCTATATAAATTAAATTATCAACAAATTTACTAAAGGCCTCAACAGACGGTAGGATTTAGCTGTACAGCACTAATTAAAATAAGATGTACAATTTTCAAAGCTATACAACACTTTCATTCAGACGGTAATTCTACACTGTAAGAATCATCTGAGGTTTCCCCTAAAAAGGATCCCTTTACATTGATCCTTTACATACTTTACTCACTAAATACTTTTTTCGCCATGAGTAATGATTGAAAAACCTCCATTTATATATATATATATATATATATATATATATATATATATATATATATATATATATATAATTTTTTTTTTAATGTGAAGCCTGACGGAGACTCAAACTAGGACCCTCGGAATACAGTACTGCGGCTCTGCTGACTAAGCTATCTGGTCGCCTACAAACTACCTCCCCTTCCCTAATTAGAGAACAATTCAATACCGTGACATAATCATTTTCGGAATAATTTGGGATTCGAACATAACACAACTTTGGGTCTCCTGAAGAGTTTTTCAACATCATTTTTACCCCATCTTACTACTATGTTTACCTTTCAGCCCTAATTGTTCTGGAATTTCATTCATTACACCCATTATCAGGAGATAATTTGGTTATCTGTTACTTGTCATTGTGGGAGGTCTATAAAAATCGGTACGACAAGATTTTCAAAATAGAACATGTCCTATCCCTTACATCTAGACATAAGGTTTCCGAAATCAAGAAATAGTACCCTTCACACATTAAGATTTGTCTGTACATCTTAGTTTTAATTGGTGTTGTACTTCAAAATCCTACCGTCTGTTGAGGCCTTAACTCTCATCGTAATGCAGTAGGTAAGGTTGTGGTAAATATCAATGAAAGACAGCTAGGCTCGGATTGCACCTTTTTCCCAAAAATATTGCTTTATAATTATCAATCAGGTAGGAAAGTTTTGTATCATTTATTGTAAAGATTATAAATGCTGTGATATTTTCTATTAACTTCTCATTTTGTTTTAAATGTAGCTATATTTAGCCCTATTTAGCAAGTTGGTGCAAACTTATACGGAATGCATGATACTTTACACAGACTGTTTCAACTATAGTTAAGTTTGCACGAAATACTATTGCACTGCAAAAGTACTATGACTACTACATATCATTAACATATATAAAAGTGATTAAACTGTAAAGAAATACATATTTTTTGATACAGTAATATGTTTAAGAAAAGAAAACTAATTTAATAAAATAAAGTCGCATGCACATTGCATCTATGTCAAACCATTGTGTGTGTTCGATTTAATTCTTATATTTTATATATTTGATTTTTGCATATTAAAAGCAAGTATGGTTTAGCATTTTCAAATGCGCGGCAAAATGCTTATATCATATATGCCTTACTACGTTAATTGACATCATTTTTTATGAAGTGTGACATCATTCCGCCTAAGAATTGATTCTAACAAGATATAAAAGAGAACCAATGTATGTATAACTAACCACATTTATTCTTGTCAAAATAAATGCGTGTAATTAAGGAAATTTGACTTTGCCTTGAGAAAGAATAAAACACATGATATCAGTACAGAGTGGAATATATATGAGTCTGGGTAACTCTTCTTTACAGATAGTATGTCCGTGTAATTGTCTTATTCTATTCACAAAACACAACAATATATATACGTGAACTTACATCTATATAACTTGCTACCATACTTTGCTTCATCTACAATTGCTGTAAAGAGGGCACAGCTGCATTTCTAGAAGATTTAACTGTCCTGAAAAATCATAATATAACTTCAGCATAAAATGATAAAGAGCACATTGAAAATATTTCATAAGTGATCACATGTGCGAAAGTGTTAATATGTAGGAACGTGTTCACTGTGATGTGCATGTGTAGTTATGTATTTTGTGTGTACGTGCGTGCGAGTATTATATTGCTTTATGTGAAATATAAGTCAAAATATGGAATGTCGAAAAATGTGTGATGTACAAAGGCTCAATATAGTTTTTCAAGCGTTTAAATTCATGTATAATGAAATATTAAATAACTGTTTCCTCAAACAGGCGCGTGTTTGTGACTGATCCATGCGATATCACCTTATGCGTAATGTTTATCTTAAAAACTAAACAAGAGTTTTAATTATAATAAGAAAAAAATATTTAAATTTTAATTTGTCCAATAAAAAATCCATTGTAAATGTCGAAAACTCAGTTCATGTATATACAATTTAAATTCTGGGTAATCCTGAATAACGTAGATAAATAACCAAACATATCGAATGAAAACCAAGAGTTGTCTGTCCTGAATAGCGAGTAAACTCGATCTTGCTAATTACTATTAATGCTAAAACAATACAAACAAAACCGTTTTAAAACTTCTGGTTCGTTGCGATATTTTATATTCACGAGTTTTAAAATTCTTACACCGACAACAGGCTTCTGATCAAAGCTTCATATAAATGTAAAAATAAACATATGAGCCGCGTCACGACAAAACCAACATAATGGGTTTGCGACCAGCATGGATCCAGACCAGCCTGCGCATCCGCGTAGTCTGATCAGGATCCATGCTGTTCGCTTACAAACTCTATAACAAGTAGAGAAACCGATAGCGAACAGCGTGGATCCTGATCAGACTGCGCGGATGCGCAGGCTGGTCTGGATCCATGCTGGTCGCAAACCCATTATGTAGGTTTTTTCGTGACGCGGCTCATATATTTTGACACCAAGGGTAAGTGGTTTAACAGTTAACTGTTAAACTTAACACCTGTCGGCCATATTACATGCAATCATACACATTCTTTGTATTAGTGTAAATAAAAAATTCTGACAATTATTTTCATTTTATTTATTCATCTAAATGTATTATGATTTAAATAAAAAAGAAATGTTTGTTTCCTTTTTTTGTTTAAGATTTGTATTCGTTTAAGAATAGGTTAATATAAATAAGAAATATATAACAACATGTGTACAGAAACTTAAAAAAAGTGAATAAAATTGAAAAGAGCCGAGTCTTTAAATTGACTTATGTTTGCATCAAATAATGGGGATTTGTATAAAAATAAAAACTGCGAATATAAAACAAGTATTCTGCTCGTTAAATTGTCGAGACTGAGAAACAATTTTATATAAAAATTTAAAAACCTATTTTTTATTAGAAGAACTAAGCAATTTTCTTTTAAAATATGTGAATCTGTTAAATCTGATAATTTTTGTTATTATATTGAATAGATAAAACATAACCTATTTTTCGGCTATCAATTTCATAAATCACTATTAAAATAAATAGAATTTGAGTGTCTCTTTTCGATATGATCTTTCTTGCACATTGATTCGCACCCCTGCTGTTAAGTGATAATTGAGATCGCTTAAGATTATAAAGTCCAATCAGTTGACCAATCAAGCATACATAGGTCGTGTCACACACACTGATTAATCCCTTTGCACTACCATGTCCAGGGGCTGTAATACCTTGACATCTTCGGTGTTTAAATGTCGTAATTTTTAACTCGGTGTCTTTTTTACCCTGAAGGGAGTTATGATTAACGCATTTAATAAATGCCCTTTTCATTTTTTTGTTTTTGCATTTTTCATACAAATTATTAATGAAACAAGATACAGTTTAGAAATCAAAATCAAACTCGTAACCTTCCAGTCTAAATTTAGGGATATATCCCTGCTTTAATTATCTAATCCGGCGGCCATATTGGATAGCGAAACAGATTAAACAGTGTTAAAGTTTTCTAAAAACAAATCAGTTTAACCCTGAAATAAGCTGTTGTTCACAAAATGCAACTATTCTATTGATCGCATATTGATATGGCAACGATAAAAAATAACTTTTAACCTACCTTGTTTTGCAATATTCTGAATTTTATTTACTATCCATTTCCAATCCCGTTTTTTCTTTTTTCATTTCGCCCGCGCTATTTCTGATTGGTTGATAGGATTCACGTGATACAAAACCAACGCTATAAACTCATTGGCTGTTTTGAAAACGCGTGATATGCCTAGATACCGTTTGTGTAATAAAGCATTTAGCATTAATAATGCCACGGATTTATACTAAGGTCGGTAATAATGCGGAAAAACTGCATACTAAGACCTTTATTCGATCCAAAATAATGCAATATTAAATTAGAAATATCATGTATCCATAAACGATAACTTTGCATATATGTATAACATAACCATTGATACTTTTTCATAGGCAAAACTTTGATTCTAATGCTCAATCGGTTATTCATTTTTTTGATAATAATAATACTAATAATAATAATAATAATAATGATAATAATAATAATAATAATAATAATAATAATAATAATAATAATAATGATAATAATAATAATAATAATAATAATAATAATAATAATAATAATAATAAAAAATAATAATGATGATGATGATGATGATGATGATGATGATGATGATGATGATGATAATAGTTGATAATAATAATATGAATGATGATGATGATGATGATGATGATGATGATGATGATGATGATGATGATGATGATGATGATGATGATAATAAAAGACGTTTTAGAAGCGCTATGAAATATTTATAAATTACACAAATTTTTGTGATAACAACAATAAGCGGGTAAAACAAATAACCCACATTAAATTTACACAAAGGACAAAAGCCCCCCACCCCAGTCCATCAAACAAAAGCCTCCCTAAGGTATATAGACCAGACTGATTACTTTCTATTTTTACACGCCCAGTGTTCGGGAACTTGGGTTATGCTTCAAATAAATCTAGACAAGTATGCGCCTTTCACTTTTATGTCCTTGATAAGCTTTGAAAAGCGATTCTCTGAAACTATTCATTTACATTTGTACTGCACAATATAGTATAAAGTAAACATAAAAACATTCATATCATCAATGAATTATAAGTACGAATTACACAATAAATCAAATTAGAACTTTTGTACCTTCAAATTTAAATGTTAATGTAAATTATCTTTTAAAACAATTTCATTTATTTGTTAAAATACATTAAGTTCCAGATTTAAACTGACGAGAGAGATAGACGGAGATGGACTGGGGGGGGGGCTTTTGTCCTACCTGTATTTTTGATGGGGGGGGGGGCTTTGTCCTACGTGTAAATTTCATGGGGGGGGGCTTTTGTCCACCTTGTCATTTTTAAATTGGGGGGGGGGGGGCTTTCGACCGGGGGGGGGGCTTTTGTCCGTATCCCCATTAAAATAAATAAATTACTTACTTACTTACTTATACACATAAATGAAGTATAAAGATCCATTCACATTATCCTCGGATTTCATAATTAAAATAAAACTTTATCAGTATAAGAATATTTGGAGTATCGGTAAAAATTCTAAAGTCCAATTTAAAAAGTGATTTTACTATCAATATATAATTTAGTATGTTCTTAACTTGAGTTTTTAAATCAAACTACGACAATTTTTATTTTTTTAAACAGAAATTTACTTTTACAAAAACTGGTTCCTAGATACATAATTTAATTTTAACAAAGTAACAAATGTTAATTTACATAGCACGGTCATGTTCCCCTGTCCTGAACAATGTTCAAGTCACCGAATTATGCAGAAACACGGCTGATGGGGGACGAGGAAACTCGGGAGATGATGATATTTTTCAAGAAATGCTATTCCGAATAATTTGACATCATCTATCAACATTACATGTACATACACCCCAGTGACATCCATCTAATTCTAGCTTGTTAACTTAGATATAATTGGACTTGGCGGCAGGGTACTTTAAAGTTTACTTTAAGATAAATCTTAATTGTGTCTTGTTTAAATGACGAATTCCGCCAAATTAAAGGATAACAACAACACGACGCTGCAAAAACTTTGGAAAGAATATAGCAGCTATGTCTGTTTCATTTTAATATGTCGGGTTAGAGTCACTCGATATACCCTGCTGCGTTTATGATCAATATCCGGATCAATATCCGGCTTAATCAGTATTGTCTTCGATTATGGCAATACAGCACGTGGCTATTACACAATATTATGTCATACATGAGACCGCGCGAAAAGAACTAAAATTGGGGAATTCGGAACTTCATAAGATTTCTATTCAAAACTTGTGTACAGAAACGCAAATCTTTGTTTCCTGAAATAAAAGATTAAATAAATAAATTAATTAATTAATTAAAAGATTAATTAATTAATTAATTAATTAATTAAAAGATTAATTAATTAATTAATTAATTAAAAGATTAATTAATTAATTAATTAATTAATTAATTAATTAATAAGAAATATATGAATAAATGAGTAATGAATGTATGAATAAATGAATGAATGATTGGTTGATTAAATAAATAAACAAATAAATAAATAAATAATAAATAAGAAATATATGACTAAATGAGCAATGAATGAATGAATGAATGAATGAATGATTGGTTGATTGATTCAATGAATGAATGATTCAATGAATGAATGAATGAATGAACGAACGAACGAACGAACGAACGAACGAACGAACGAACGAACGAACGAACGAACGAACGAACGAATGAATGAATGAATGAGATATCATTGTTTTTTTTACATATGCAAGTATATGTATTATATTATGTATAGCCTATTTTTTATTGGACATATATCAATGTAAAATTTAATTGCTGTGTGGACAATCCCGATTTCATTTTCGTGATTTCACAATTATTTTAACTTTCACGATTTCAACTTCACAGATTCACGATTTTATTATAATTAATTCATGTTTTAAACATCACAATTTCAACTTTATCATTTTCTAATGTTTGGCTTATCATTATAAAATATTATAATGATAATGAAAAGGAAATTACAAAATATAACATGATTCACCATAATGCAAAACAGTACTATCTAATCGTCAATCGCAATTGTAAAGTATTCGCTGTTTATCTGCGGGTGTATGCTAAAAAGCAAACCTAGAATACCGCGTCTGCATGTTACAGGTGGATGTCTTACACGTTCTGTGCACTGACGATATTATTTGCACGCAATTGACGCGTTAATAACTCCTGGAAATTTTGCTTTGTGTTAATTGTCAAATGTCTGACAAATATATGATCAGACTATTTCTTTACTCTAACAGAAAATAGGCTATTCAGAAGTAAATTTTCATTCGCTATTTCTATAAACAGAATCCGTATTTGCACGAATACGGAATTTCGTATTTTAGTAATATACGGACTTGTTATAAAAATTCCGTATATTAGTAAAATACGGACTTCGTACATCAAAGTTCCCGTATATTACGAGTGTACGGAGTTCGTATACTAGTCATGTACGGACTGATATAATATACGGTCCCGTACATCTCCGTATTTCAAGTTTCCCGTATTCTTACACGTATATTAATGATATACGGAATTCCGTACACTTCCGTATATCCATGTCTTTTTCGCAGTGCGGTAAGAATTCAAACGACAGGATAAAGTTGCTAATCATGACTTGTTTGTATTAGTACTTAGTGTCACTTACTTTAAATCGAGTGTAAAGCTTAATAAAAAATGATTTAACAACTCTCTGTTTAAACTAGCTGAACTTGAAAAAAACCCCAACTAATTCTAACTAAAATTGTGTTTAATCTATGTTGAAGTTACAAAATGAAACTATTATTTTTCAACCGTACATTAAAGAAAACACACACACAAATTTTGATTTGAAATATTAAGTATTTGGTGTAGAAACGAATATGATGTTAACCATCACAATCATATAGAAAACATGATGTTAAGATATTGACTTCAACTTTAATGTATTTCCATTTACCACAATTTCGTTTTTAAGCAAGGCCGAATAACTTTAATCAGATAAATTATATGCATCGATCAGAAATGCTTTGCAATCAATCATAGGTTACAGTTATTTTTTATTATCTATATTGACAATGACAGTATGACATATAAGTTTGTAGAATAAACATACGTGAACAGGTAGACCCTTTAGAAGTGTCCATTATAGACTATATGATGTATTTTCCGGTCACACTTCTTTAAATTATTTTACTTATTATAGAATGACCAATGAAAATCCCATATTTCAGTTTGAAAGATCATTAACCTTTTATCCACTATCTGTGCATTTTGTTGAACCTCAAAGTCAAAATAGCCAATTTCCGCAAAGTGATTATTGTCCTTGACTGTTAAAGAAAATTATTAGCATTTTCTAAGACAACGTTTCAGACTTTCAGACTGAATACAATAATCATCATTTTCTCAACTAGCAATTTAACGAATTAATGTCAATGAACTATTTGATTTGTGTAATAGTTCTACAACCATATTGTTTGGCCTTTGACTAATCGAATACTTCCAATGTGTCAATACGAATTAGTGAAAATAAGGAAATATATAACCAAACAGAATATTTATAGGATCATTTATTCTGTTACATTGGTCACAGTGCCTTTTTTCTACTTTTCATAGCTATCGTGTGATTATCTACTTTACTTCCGTCTTTCAATAAATGTTGCCGTATTATCTGATCTCTTAAAAATCAAATCGTAGCAGACGGCATTTTCATTTTGTCAAGTCATTACAGTATGTACCAAACTCATGTTGCAAATAACAAATTGTATCTACTTATATGTGTTTTAGTTTTCATATACTCGACTCACACTTTAACCTTTTTAAAGATATCTTACTTTCTTTTCCTTGTAACAAATGGCATATTTACTCATCATGTGAAGGTCACCTACGTAATAAACAAAAACATTCAACTAAAATTAAATAAAGTCTCACTTAAAATGAAACAAAGTTTAACAAGGAAGGGATTTTATAAAAATATCCCCTAACAAAACCCAGAAACACAGGAATATGATAAACAAGAACTGGAGAGGTCAGAAGGCGACCCACGGGTGATGTGAAATCATTTATAATCAACAATTCAAAAGATCAAAAGAGAAAATCAGAAACAAAAGATGGGATGGAAACATATAATATATATTAAGTGATTCATGATAAGATTTTTTGGTGTATATTATTCCGCAAACACACACTGTCAGTTTAGGTCACATGGCGACGTTTTTTTACTTTACCGTTGGACTAAGACCTCATGTCCCCTTCCTGTATTATTTCAGGCACGAACGGGCA